AGAGAGAAGAAGATACTTTTTGTCGTTGCAATTTTCTATTGCTCAAGTTTAGAGAGAGAAGGCGGCCTTCCTCTTGACACTATGGACTCCAATACAAACGATGTCGTTGTGGACGACTATGCCTCAATGGTGGATCCTTTCTTGGTTGAGGCTCTTCAAAACCCTCGACATCGTCTTACCAGTGAGCAATTTTACCCTACTTGTCACCTTAATTTTTGTTTAATTTTGTGTCGATTTTGAATCTGATCTTTGAATTATATGTATCACTGCACATGTATAATTGAGATGGTTCTTGTGATTGGATTGAATTAGGCTTCGGTGAAAGTTCGATTGGGGTTATGTCAGATCGGGAGGAGTTTTTTCCTTTTTTCTTTAAATTAGGGTTCCATGTTGATTTTCAGAATTTATGGGTACTTATTTTGGAAGTCTTGTTTACACGTGAGCAATATTATGTTGTCAGAAATCATTGGTTAAAGTGATTTTTGTTAATAGCAATTTAGAAAATGTAGCAATTGGTGCTAAACAGAAGTTTCCTCGAAAATCATAATGTGTAATGGGCCAAGAATACCAACCTAGCTTTCAGTGTCATTTGTGCTCGCTCGCTCGCTCGCATGGGTTTCTTTGATCAACAGATTATGTTGGTGGAACTCTTTGGACGAAACTTGCTGATTGATCTTCATGTAAATTTTTAGTATGGTGATAGATTCATCCATTTAGGAGTAATTGGGACTGGGTAAGGGGGAGAACATGTGGAACGGCCAAGGAGTTGTGGCACAATCCCAACCTGCAATTGGGTTCTGGTTAGTCTTATACACTTCCCTCCCCTATTTGTGTGAGTGTTGCATAAAAATATTGTACTTAGGCTTCTCNTAGAGGCTAATTTTCTGTGGTAAAAAGATAATTTGTATCAAGTTATTTGAATTTGATAATGGTTCACGAATAATACACGTGTACACCAATTAATAATAAATAAATTTATAGACTTATTTTATAAAAGTATAAGAACAAANCTCGCATGGGTTTCTTTGATCAACAGATTAAGTTGGTGGAACTCTTTGGACGAAACTTGCTGATTGATCTTCATGTAAATTTTTAGTATGGTGATAGATTCATCCATTTAGGAGTAATTGGGACTGGGTAAGGGGGAGAACATGTGGAACGGCCAAGGAGTTGTGGCACAATCCCAACCTGCAATNACGTGAGCAACAATTTATCCTCGCGTGTCAATCACGTGATTGTCACCCGATGGCTCATCGTACACCGAACTGGCCAGCACCCTCGGTTAGTTTTCCACACCCAAAACGCCGACCAAAAAGCGTGTCCGTGTATGACCTTTTATGACTTTTCACCTTCATAGACAGACAGAGGGAGAGAACACAAGCAGACAAAAACAACTATATATCTAACCCTTTTCTCTCTCATAAGTCCTCTCTCTCTCTCTCTCCTCCTTTGGTGGTGGGATAAGAGGACGCCTGGGGGGTTTCCTCATTCTCTCCTTTTATGCCGATATAGAGAGAGCATAGTCGCTTCTTCTTAAACCTTCTCCTCGGGGGGAGAGAGAGAAGAAGATACTTTTTGTCGTTGCAATTTTCTATTGCTCAAGTTTAGAGAGAGAAGGCGGCCTTCCTCTTGACACTATGGACTCCAATACAAACGATGTCGTTGTGGACGACTATGCCTCAATGGTGGATCCTTTCTTGGTTGAGGCTCTTCAAAACCCTCGACATCGTCTTACCAGTGAGCAATTTTACCCTACTTGTCACCTTAATTTTTGTTTAATTTTGTGTCGATTTTGAATCTGATCTTTGAATTATATGTATCACTGCACATGTATAATTGAGATGGTTCTTGTGATTGGATTGAATTAGGCTTCGGTGAAAGTTCGATTGGGGTTATGTCAGATCGGGAGGAGTTTTTTCCTTTTTTCTTTAAATTAGGGTTCCATGTTGATTTTCAGAATTTATGGGTACTTATTTTGGAAGTCTTGTTTACACGTGAGCAATATTATGTTGTCAGAAATCATTGGTTAAAGTGATTTTTGTTAATAGCAATTTAGAAAATGTAGCAATTGGTGCTAAACAGAAGTTTCCTCGAAAATCATAATGTGTAATGGGCCAAGAATACCAACCTAGCTTTCAGTGTCATTTGTGCTCGCTCGCTCGCTCGCATGGGTTTCTTTGATCAACAGATTAAGTTGGTGGAACTCTTTGGACGAAACTTGCTGATTGATCTTCATGTAAATTTTTAGTATGGTGATAGATTCATCCATTTAGGAGTAATTGGGACTGGGTAAGGGGGAGAACATGTGGAACGGCCAAGGAGTTGTGGCACAATCCCAACCTGCAATCGGGTTCTGGTTAGAGTCTTATATACTTCCCTCCCCTATTTGTGTGAGTGTTGCATAAAAATATTGTACTTAGGCTTCTCATGTACGAAAAAAGCAGACTACTTGGGTTAGGCTGGTGTGGCTGCTCACACTGATGAAGCATCAATTGCTGTGGAAGCACTGCTACCTCTTGATGAAAAAGTCTTTCTTTTCATTGACTGCCCAAAGTAATCGATAATGTTTCTGTTGATACAACTTCCTACGTAAAAGGCCTTTTATATGGTGCTCTTGCACTACCAAGTAACCTTACATCATTGAAGATGACCTATTCTAAATTTTGTAAATATTGACTAAAACTATTTAATTCTTCGCTGCCCATTTGATTGGATCCTTGAGTTCTATAAATTAATATCTATTATTGTATATTTGATGGATGCTTCAGAATTTGGAAATTGAATGCTTTTATAATTTTTGGATACTTATGCTTGACAATTGTTTCAATGAATCGAGTATAGCTTTTTATTTGCAAATTTTGCTTCATTTCCATGATAAGAAGTATGGACACGAGATACGACATAACATGACACGGACCCGCAAACAAGACATTTCTTAAAAAAAGTAAAATAGGGACATGTTGAAGAAACACTACTGATAATTGTGTTTTCTATATAAAGTCATATAATTTATCGCAAATATAGTTGACTCTGATCCACAACCGGAAGGAATTGCCGGTTAGCCTATGATATATGACCATAGATTCAATTATAAAGTACTAAAAGTCATTTAGTTCCAAAAAAAAAAATTCAATAAAATGACAACAATATATTATTCATAAAAAAAAATTAGTATTTTATAATAAATGAATGCTATGTCTAGTCATCTAGTATGAATTTTTAGAATAAAATATTATAATAGTTAATAATCATCAATTTTTTGTTAGACAACGATTACCCAACATATATAATTTAAATTGTTGCTTTCATTTTTTCAAGTCTTTTTTAAAACTTTTATGCATCATTTGTTCTTATTATTATATAAGTATAACCTCATATCTGAAGACACTTTACAATACCAAAAATCGAATATTGATCCTATAATATTTATATTGTAAATAAAAATTTATTTTTTCTTTTCTTTAATTACCCAATTTAAAATAAGAGAGAGGCATGGGAGAGAGGAAAAAAAGGTAGTGTGGATTATGTAGTTGTTTGACATTAGAGAGTGTGTAGGTTGTATTGTCTAGCATTGTGAGTCATGCAGAGAATATAATATTTTTAGGAAAAAAATAATGGGATGAATTATATGTCATTTGATCAAAATAGATGAAAGCTAGATTAATCTTTACTATTGTTGTGCTTTTATAAGTTGAGAATTCAACTTCTTAAATGTAATATTAGATTGATTTTGAGGATGAATTTAACATGTCTAATCTTGATAATTATATGTTCTCTTATTGTATAAGATACTTATTAGTCAAATTTTTAAATTTTGTTAATCACATGTAAACACAGGTTTATTATTTAGTAGTAGATATGGTCTAAATAAGTGTCGGACACGTCACCAAAGAAATGTTGGATACGAAAATTTTATTATTTAATTATGAACACGGATATAAAAGAATTGAACACGTGTTAAAGGAGTGTCACTATCTGACACAAATACATCATTTTCTTGAGAGTGTTCATGCTTGGTAGCTACTATGAAACCCTTACCTCGCCTTGGCCCAATGAGAGCGTTTGCAGCTTGGTCACCCTGTGCCTTGAGTAACACTACCCCTTACTTAGAGCATCTTATATGATGATTACGCTTCAAATTTGCTTTACTTGAATCTTTATACTGGGAAGTCCTACCTCCTGAAATTGAATTACAATAAAATTTCTGAAAGTTATCCAAAGTCAAAACAGCCCCTAGTGAGTATTAAGTCATGCACTGATCTATTAGATGATTATAGGGTGTTCTTTTTTATTATTATTTGCAACCCAGTTATTGGGAGAAAAAGGGAAAGAAAATGAAGAGCTACCCCCAAACCCAATATGTTGTCAAGAGGTCGCAATCTCCATATTGCAATGAGAAACTAATAAAGTTGGGGTAATTTCCCTACTTACAATTAATAAGTTTTATGGAGCACCCTTGAGATCTGTTATTCAATTTCGAAGCCTAATTACCTTACATCCTTCCTTCTTTTGGAAGCATTGGTTGTGTTCTATTTATTTGTGTAACAATTTTCCCTATGGAGATTATTGAACAGTGTTCTCTTCCTGTTGCTGTCCTCATCCCCCATTTTGTCTGTATTGCCCAACTGGCATCTCTTTTGATCCAATCTACAAAAATTCAACAAATCTTCCGAGACCTACTTCCCTAGGGAATTTTCTAGCTTTTCAAGTCTCTTTGCCACAGAGAGGGGTTGGCTAAATATGCATCAGATATGTTCATAGGCAATAGTGGATATTTTGTGTGTGAGAGTTTCCCAGCTGTTTGAAAGAGATTGCCTTTTTGAGATATCTTGATATCTAAGTTCATATGTGTTTGCCTAGCCGATTTTGGAACAGTACATATGTCATGGAACCGACATGCTCTGGTAAGGGCTTTAATTTGTTGCCCAGACCAAGCATGGATTAGAAAATAATTACAATGTTTATAGGAAGCAAATAGTTTGAAGTGACAANCGTATGTCATGGAACCGACATGCGCTGGTAAGGGCTTTAATTTGTTGCCCAGACCAACCATGGATTAGAAAATAATTACAATGTTTATAGGAAGCAAATAGTTTGAAGTGACAATTTCGAGTGAAATCTCATGAGTGAAAATGATTTGTAAACATTAGAAGACAAAAGAAGAATTAGTGGAATGTCACACCAACATCATAGAAAATAAGGTGATACTATGATTTTGGGGCCTGCAAGGCTTTGTGTGGTTCCCGAAAAACGTATCACCGATGTTATGTAAATATCTGCCTACTTGTGCCAGTATAGNATGAGAAGAATTAGTGGAATGTCACACCAACATCATAGAAAATAAGGTGATACTATGATTTTGGGGCCTGCAAGGCTTTGTGTGGTACCCGAAAAACGTATCACCGATGTTATGTAAATATCTGCCTACTTGTGCCAGTATAGTGAGGAAAGAACAGTTGCATCAGGCTTGATTGGCTCACTTTCTAGAAAGCAACACATCTTCCAAATGATTCTAGAAAGCAACACATCTTCCAAATGATACTAGAAAGCAACACATCTTCCAAATGATAAGAAAAATAATTGCATATTATCTTGGTGCATGTGTTGTTTAAGGCAATAAATTTTGGAGGCATTCAAATTCTTATTTGTGTTTGAAGACTTCCAGGCATTGCAGCCTAAATTGACCCAAAGTAGTTCGCAAAATTGACCTGCTACATGACAATACAAAAGTTAGGATGATGATGTATGCTTAATTAGCTGTTAGTTTGAGACCTATCATTGTGTTATAGGGTTTGTCATGATAGGAGAAAAAATATAAAGTTTGTATATAAACCTTTATGCTTAGAAAGGTACCCTCTAATTTTCACATATGGTGTATACAAACCATTGGCCCCAAAAATGTTGGGATAAGACTTTGTTAAGTTGTTGAGACTAGTTTATACTAACTATTTGGTCTCGTCTTTATTGTCTATTTTTTGAACACTTCATCCATGGAGGTTTTTAAAGACAGATTTAGAGTGTGATGAGTTATTATGGTAACCACATAGGTCCCCCTAATTCGCAGACCATACCAATTAAACACAAAAACTCATGATATATTGTAAAGAAGAATTGAAAATTCCCAAAATAAAAATTTTCTTGCAAATGATTTCTAAGTTTAACAAGAACCAACTGATTCCCAACAAGATTTGTAATTGAAATGTAATAACCTATGACTGGTTACCTAGATAATAAACCATCCTCATGTAGACTGTAATCACTTTTGTAAAAGGAATACCCCAAATGAATCTCTTTTTTCTAGTTTCTTGTTAATTTATTTGCATTATTATTCACCATCATTCTTTNTTATGTAGACTGTAATCACTTTTGTAAAAGGAATACCCCAAATGAAACTCTTTTTTCTAGTTTCTTGTTAATTTATTTGCATTATTATTCACCATCATTCTTTGTAAAGCTGCACTTTACCTTCTATATTAGGTGAAATCTCTGTGACTGAAACATCATATAGATATTATTGTTTGATTACACATTTGTGAAATTTGAAACCAAAACATCTTCCCACTATAGCAGTTTAGTGGGTAAAAATTATAATTTGCAGGATATATTGTATCAAGGTAGAATTATTTATCAGGCAGTTTCCTAAATTTTAGAAAAGTATGCTTGTATTAAACCTTAAAGGATGCAAATTTTGTATATTGTCTAATTAAAGTTTGTGTTTGTCATATTTTTCCTTTTTAGTGCTACCGTTTATGGAGATTCCATGCAGCCAACTAGGCCCAAAAGAAAAACCAAGGTTTTTGGAGCCATCTGAAAACTGACCTTAGATGTGAAACTACCTTAGAATATAGGTTTGTGTAGTTTAGTTAAAAAGTTTGTAGTAACAATTGTTATGATGGTTTTTATGTTGGGACTATTACTTATTTCATTTCTTTTATTACATAGCTTGCATTGCAGGTTAGAACTTTAGATGTTTGTTAAACTTTAAGTTCTGTTTATTCCTATGGTAGGTATAGATTTGACAATTTCACATGGTTGACTGATATTTAAGTTCACTATTCTTGACAATCCCACTTTCTTTTTATGTATATTTTTATTTTTTAAGAGAATGTCATATCAGCTGAAAAAAGAGAGAATGCCATTTTTATGTTCTAAATATGTGACCAATAGTTATATGTTAAAGTTGCTCGTGATTCATTTTGGGCTGAATGCTGTGGTTTCTATTATATATAAGATTTAGTATGATTCTATTGAAAGTGAAACCATCTCCCTGAAATTATAATCATCCTGCTGCGTGTCTTTTTGGATTATTTTGTTATAGCTTTCTGCGAATTGAGATTTATTTATATTTTTTGTGATTCTGCTGAACCCTCTATTTTTCTATCAGGGATTATTAGTTGTGTTTAGTTATTTGTATTTGGCCTAAAAAAGTTTTGATTGGTAATGGGCATACAAGCATTTGTAAATGGTACCATTGCTAATTGGCTTAATATTTAGTAGCATGTTGACCAAGTGGCTTAGCTTGGTAGAAAAAGATCTTTGATGTCCCCAAAATATGTTTGGATTCATTCTAGGTGTCATATAATTTGCTTTTAAGGCATTGTGAAAAGAATTGTAAAAATCAGGTTGGCTGAATTGGCTGATTTGAGTGTGAGAATCATTTATTAATTACAGCAGCATTTGACTATTTGGGTTTGAGGAAGTACTGATTTTCAGAGCTTTTGACAGTCCAGGAGAAAGATTAGACATGTTGACCTAATAACTTAGTTTTTTGAATTTTATTGTTGTTGATTAATTTTTCTTTTTGGTATTTGTCAGTTCTTCGGATGGAACTCGATATTCAGAAGTTCTTGCAGAATCCTGATCAACAGCAGTTTGAGTTCCATCATTTTCCTACCTCCTACCTCCGTCTTGCAGCACACCGTGTTGCTCAACACTATGGTCTGCAGACTATGGTTCTGGATAATTTTACCGATGGTCAGGGAAGTAAAATTGTGGTTAGAAAACTGGCAGAAACTAGATACCCTGCTGTCTGTTTATCAGATATACCAGCTAAAAAGTCAGAGAATGACAAACATGAGCAGTTGAAGATTTTCCTAAGGCCAAGGCCTAGTAAAGGATCCTCCAATGGAACCAATGAACTGGGGACTAAACGCAATCCTGTAAGAACTATGGAAGAGAGGAAGGAGGAGTATGACAGGGCACGAGCCAGAATTTTCAGTAGTCGAAGTTGTAGTCCCGAGTTCGAGGATACACTGCCTCAACCCTCTTTAAATAGAAAGAATTTGTCTTCCGGTGGAGATGAGATCGAAGGGTTGAGGAACTCCGTCCTGGATTTAGAGAAAAATGTCTGCAGCAGGGATGGTGGTACTTCTTCTCGAGTAGCCATTTTCCGAGATAGGGAGAAGGATCGCACTGACCCAGATTATGACCGAAGTTATGAAAGGTAATAAGATATCAGTTTCTGTACTGGAAGTTATTTAGGTGTTGGATGGCTTTTCAATGTGGACACTCTTTTTTTTGCAGTTATATTTCTGGTGCGAACAGTTTTTGTGTCAAGATACTTTCTGTAATTGATGTTTGATTTTTCTTTGAAATTGCTGTATTAGGCACCACTTATCCTCTAAGGGACCTTGGTATGTGGCTGTATGGGGAGGTCATGGTATCTGTGATTTAAAGAGGAGTTTCTGCTCCCTTTTTCCTTTCTATCTTGATAAATTGTGTTTGCATTTGGTTTGTATGCAATGAAGAACTAATAGTGTCCTTTATTTTTTTGTGCTGTTTCCCTGGCAATATTTTACACTGAGGCTTTAATCCTGATCTTGGGAAAAATAGTAATCGTCTATCGTCCTTTTTAATTTTATCCTGGAGACTTTGGCATTATCATTTTGATCTGATATTTGTTCTTGCAGCTTAGGTTATGAGTGGTTGTGTAAGAGGGTTAGGGGTGACCCTCTTAGACCTGGCATTCATTACTGGTTTACTGGAGACTGTATAATATTTGTACTAAATCTTTAGTATTTAGTTGTTTAATTTTTTTTTTTACCGCAATTTAGTTGTTTACTTGATATGCACTTATTTAAGGTGTATCTTGACTTGATGACGTGCTGAGGTATTATTCAGAGAGAATGTATATTTGTTGTTTAACATTTCAAATTTTGTGATTTTTGAAATGAAGCACCAGTACTATAAGATTGGTTGGGTTGATGAAATTATAAGAGTTAATAGTTTGAGCTTTACAGCCGTAGTCAGTTCTGATATGTTTGTGCATTTCCATATTTGAAAATTACAGAACACCTGAATGATACAAGCTGATTGTTTTTGTTAAACTGTTGCAGGTATATTAAGTGTATTCCAACCAACCAAAGCTTTAGCTTGATGCCTTCTAATATGCAGAAGTTTCAGCCTCCATTCGTGCAGTATGATTCTGTTTTTCCTCAGTTGGGGCAAATGCCAAGGGCTCAAGCTTCCCTGGGCTACAGGAGCCCAGTCATGAGCCCTTTCTGTGCCATGGGATTGAATCAGACAACCAGGGATGCTGTCTATATGCAGTGGCCATCTCAAGCCATGATATATAATCAGTCATATGATCAATTTAGACATGGTGTTTTCCAGGTGGGTCACAGTTCCTTCTCCATCATAACTCTCTTTCCTCTCAAAATATTAATAAGTATATTATTTGATTCTACGCAAGACATTGTACGAGTTGGTATAAGGATGAGTCACTGAAGATCATCTTGNTATGTGCATTTCCATATTTGAAAATTAGTGAACACCTGAATGATACAAGCTGATTGTTTTTGTTAAACTGTTGCAGATATATTAAGTGTATTCCAACCAACCAAAGCTTTAGCTTGATGCCTTCTAATATGCAGAAGTTTCAGCCTCCATTCGTGCAGTATGATTCTGTTTTTCCTCAGTTGGGGCAAATGCCAAGGGCTCAAGCTTCCCTGGGCTACAGGAGTCCAGTCATGAGCCCTTTCTGTGCCATGGGATTGAATCAGACAACCAGGGATGCTGTCTATATGCAGTGGCCATCTCAAGCCATGATATATAATCAGTCATATGATCAATTTAGACATGGTGTTTTCCAGGTGGGTCACAGTTCCTTCTCCATCATAACTCTCTTTCCTCTCAAAATATTAATAAGTATATTATTTGATTCTACGCAAGACATTGTACGAGTTGGTATAAGGATGAGTCACTGAAGATCATCTTGGTGTAAATGACAGTATACGAGTTGGTATAGGGACAAGTCACTGAAGATCATCATGGTGTAAATGACAGTATACGAGTTGCTTTAGGGATGAGTCACTGAGTTTCACCCTTATTAATTTCTGTGATTTTTGAATAGATTATATCCATAGCTTTCTTAAGATGATCATGCATGTATGATGATGCAATCCTCCGGGATATTCACAATGCTTGACATAGAACATGTAATTTTATATCATTCATGATATTTCTTCTCCACAATAAAGATAAAGGAAGGCCAGAAGTAATAAATTACATGATAAAGTGTCAATGGTGTTGCCAACAATTGCTTATGTTTTTCCCTCTATGTGAAGTGGAGTACATAGTATTATCCTTTTTGGTTTTCTCGTTTGGTTCAATTATCACTCTCTTTTTCGTTTTTCCTGCTGTTCTTGTATATAAAGCTAATTAATGTCATTNTTACCCCAAAGTTTGGAATGTTATGCGGTTTTCCCTTACATGGTTTTAAGAACTGCTTTCTTTTGAGACAAATTTAAACTTAGACCCGGGGGCTGAAGTAGTAAGTTTTTCAATTTTTTTTGCATCCACTCATGGGCATGTGATGGCAGCCACAAGTGTTGTCCATCAAGATACATTGTCAACGCAAATTTTTTTCTTCAGAATGATGCAGCTTATGTCTCATTTTTGTGCTGCCATTTCCTAGGTGATTAGACCTGTGTACACAAAGCAAAATTATACAGTATTATCCTTTTTTGTTTTCTCGTTTGATTCAATTATCACTCTCTTTTTCGTTTTTCCTGCTGTTCTTGTATATAAAGCTAATTNTATTATCCTTTTTGGTTTTCTCGTTTGGTTCAATTATCACTCTCTTTTTCGTTTTTCCTGCTGTTCTTGTATATAAAGCTAATTAATGTCATTTTTACTATTGTTGCAGGCTCCCTTTTGTCAGCAGCCACTAAGTTTGGATTACTCCCAAAATTATTGAATGTCAATCTGAATATTGTTGGATGGTTGAATGTTTGTATCACTGGACAAATTGCAGTTTTCTTCTCCTAGAGTTACCTAATCTTTTGGTTCCAAATTAGTTGTTTCGTTTTTGTTTTCATTTTTTGGTGAAGATTAGTATTGGTGATGGATAGTAGTAGTTATATTCGGACTGTTGTTTCTAGTTAAAGTTTTATGCATTGTTTGTTTGCCATTTTTGATTGTCTTACCTTCATTTTTCTGGATTGATTAATGTGTTGAGCCCGTATAGTTTTTCTTAGTCCCCAGTGACGCTTTGGTCATGCTTCTGTTTTTTTTGGCAGCTCTTATGCAAGCCTCAGCTTCATTTGTTTTTTATTGTTTGACTCTAATATTGAAAATGCATCACATATTTGCTCAAACAAGTGATAAAATCTTTTAACCCGAAATGGGTGGATTAGTTGATCAGGGTTTCATTTTATACAAAAGCTGGAATTTCTTATTCAAAAAGTCACCTAATTTTATTTTNCAAGTAATGCATGTCAAAAGGGTCATCTAAATTTGTGGCCACTCAAATCGACCCATTATATCCAATACAAACATTATATTAAAAACCGTGTTAGACAAAAATATTTGTGTAAATTATACTAGATTTTGCAGTGGCGGGAATTTCATACACTAACCATCAAACTCTTATTTTTTTTTTCTCCCTTTGAATGTCGAGNGTGTTGAGCCCGTATAGTTTTTCTTAGTCCCCAGTGACGCTTTGGTCATGCTTCTGTGTTTTTTTGGCAGCTCGTATGCAAGCCTCAGCTTCATTTGTTTTTTATTGTTTGACTCTAATATTGAAAATGCNCGGTCTTGATCTCGGCTGCCACGCCTGTTTGTCAATAGTTGATTCAGATTTAGGTAAGATGAAAGTAATGCATGTCAAAAGGGTCATCTAAATTTGTGGCCACTCGGATCGACCCATTATATCCAATACAAACATCATATTAAAAATCGTGTTAGACAAAAATATTTGTGAAAATTATACTAGATTTTGCAGTGGCGGGAATTTCATACACTAACCATCAAATTCTTATTTTTTTTTTCTCCCTTTGAATGTCGAGAATAGAGGGGGAGTAGAATTTGTTGGTGTTGGAGGGAAACCAAATGAAAAATTAGAGTTTATACGAACGTTGAAAGATGGTTAATAGATAAATGTAGTAAAATCATACCCTCGCAATTACGAAACTCCTCATCCCCAAACACAATCTAGAATCAAGAGTTACCACAAACAATCTCTAATCAAGTGTTAACAGCTACATAACAATCCAGTCCATGGGAAAAAAAAAAAAAGAGGACGAATGAGGCTGCTCTTTCAATTTCAATGCTCATTATTCATACGAAATCTACGTGACAACATGACATAAGAACAAACTTCATGGTTCAATCATCGCTGCAGTAATATTTGCTAGTTTCATGCCATGATAATGTGCTGTCCTTAACAAAGATTTTACTTTGGAAAAACACAGGTTAAAAAACACGACAAAACAAAAATAAAAAAAAATCAAAATCAAAAATCAAAAACAAGAATTTGATGCCCTGTTCTTTGACTAGGGATCTCCAGATATGCTTGAATCAAACGTATAAGTTTGCTAATGTCGATCTCATTTTTATGTGAGTTATGAAATGATCAATCCAAAGTGTCTGCTGCCAATGGCTTTTGACTAATACATTTATTTTGTTTAGGAATTTTGGTTTGTACAGACAACTCTGATTTGGTCTATCATGGCATACCAACGATATCCAAAGGCCATTTCAAATTTACTTGCATGCCGAGCTCTCATTGTTGTATAATGCACAAAAATTGCCTAATCACCAAACAGCAGGCCTTCCGGTTTGATGCTATAAAGCTATTCCAGTAATGTAACAGGAAAGAAAATGAATCCATCAAAAAGTAGCACACAAGATTTCAAACCTGGAGGAGGGTACAGTGCAGGTGACCAAGCGGATAATGCACAAAAATTGCCTAATCACCAAACAGCAGGCCTTCCGGTTTGATGCTATAATGCTATTCCAGTAACGTAACAGGAAAGAAAATGAATCCATCAAAAAGTAGGACACAAGATTTCAAACCTGGAGGAGGGTACAGTGCAGGTGACCAAGACGGATAATGCACAAAAATTGCCTAATCACCAAACAGCAGGCCTTCCGGTTTGATGCTATAATGCTATTCCAGTAATGTAACAGGAAAGAAAATGAATCTCTCAAAAAGTAGCACACAAGATTTCAAACCTGGAGGAGGGTATAGTGCAGGTGACCAAGACGGCGCAGGATTGACATCCGCGTGTTTAAACAGACTGCCAAAGCTATAGAGTTGATGCTATGCTAAAGTTCAATGGCAGGGTTGGAATGTGAGTTCAAGTTTAACCAGGAGGAGGAATAGTGCAGATGACCAATGCAGCATGAGGTTTGGCATACCCATGTTCTTCAAGTAAACCTTGTCATTGTGCTGCACTAAGAATAGATCTGGCTTTGCTATCACTCCAAGATCACAAACCTGATGTACTGAGGATCTTCGAACACAAACTTTATGGAGATTTCCTACTATCATCTTACCATTACACTACAGAAACAGTGGGCAGCCAGCTGACACAAGAGGCGCCTTACTCTCAGAAAAAAATTTGATCAAATGGAGTAGACTTCAATGTTGAGTTGCTATAAAAATCATCCCACACCCACAGGAAAAGCAATAATACCACTTTAACTTGCAAACCAAATTAGCATGAGCATTATGTTGTGAAAAGCTTAACAAAGAATGCAGACTTCCAATTTTGCATACCTTTGAGGGTGCAGCTTACATAGTGAAAAGAAGAAATAATGCATTTGACAGAGTACGAATACAAATGACATTATCACAAAAACTGTAATCTCAATCACAAAAACCCAGAAAACTTAATGGAATATGTGACTATTGAGATGACATAGGAAAAGCACAAGCCAATGCTACAACTGTAATTCAAGGTACATCCACCTGTAAGATCCAGAGTTTACCTCCTTTTTTATGCTCCTTCACAGTCATATGCATTATGAATAAAATTCCAGGAGAAAGTTTGCCATATTCATTTCTTGATGAAATAAAGATGTTTGACTAGCAACTGTATTATGCATCAGAAGCAATCGCTCATGTCATAAGATGACTCCTATTACTTTTAAATAATACTTATTATAACTTGCAGCAGAGACAACGAAAAGATTTACGGGGATTGTTAATTACAGACTACATATATGGAAGATGCGAACAGAAAACTGGGCTTTCTAAAAAATATATCTAGTCCCGTATTTATTTACAAATTTCTCCATGTGACTGTGAGAAGTAGATCTGGAACAAATTATAAATTGTCCACTTCCCAGTTTTTTGTGTTAGAATCCAATTGAGTTGAAAGACCAATGCAAACACAATCAATCAAAATTCAGAACTCAAACCATCGCCAGAAACAGGTTCTGTACTCAGATGAAATTGACTCCATACCAAACAACAACAAAGTATCCGACAATTAAAGTGTTAAGAAAGTATTCAAATCTGCTCTACTTCTCTAGGACCCAGTTAAGAAACTAACATCGGATCTCACAACTTTGGGTGAAACTTAAGCCTTAAAACTTTTGAATTAGAATTGCAATAGTGTATTTTCTACTAGGAAAAGACCAAATTGGGACAAAAATCATACTCCAAAAGATTTGTGAAGGCTTCTTAAGAGCCGGTCCCAAGCTTGGATTGCGTTAGGTAGCTAACAACCAGCATAAAATTGTCAGATCCAAAAGAAAATGAATCCAAAGAATAGAGCACAATGGAGAAACACGATGAATCAAGCAGATACCAAATAGTTGGGATCAAAGCTTTCTTGAGTTCAGTTTTTCTAAAGAAATCAGATCAATATTGGTGAGTTGAGTTTCAGTTAAGTTCCACACCAGAGCAGTGTTTCCAGAAACTAGGGATTCCACTTCTGGGCTAATGCTTGATTCCTACCTCACAAGTGTAAAGTTAAAGAATTCAGAGGCCAAAGTAGAAAGGAAAAAAGGGTTAAGCTGTAGGATTAGTTCATCTATCTTGAAATACAGACCTGCCAACATGGTGAGCCAAAGTAAAGTTCTCCATACCAAAAATTAACATACATAAAGCACATATTATGTTCCTCAAGTGTAATAGACGACTGTTCCACTCCAAGTGAATTCTCCAAAGGTCAATCAAGCCTTAATAATATCTCAAACAGGTTCAAGTAAAGATGGTATTAAACGCATAACATATCAAAAGAAACGATAGGAGATTCAGTAGAAGCCTGGAATCATGAATGAATGCAAAAGTAACATGTGAATTGAAAACAAACACACAGAAACTTGAATTATAAGAAGCACAAGAATATGTAAGGCAACATATTGAAGAAGTTATGAAACAGGATTTCAAGTGTCAAGATGACTTAACTTGATTCCGATACCAACCATTTTTCCAAATTAGAAAATAGCACGGTTGAAGCTATTCAATACAGCACAATCTTCACATAAGGGGGAACGTATGGGAATATCATTTTGGAAACAGAAATGGAAATCATGATGGCTGCACCAGGATTTTGGATTATATAGGGGACTATTACTAAGAGGACCTAGGTATTCCTTCACGCTTCATTTGGTTGGCATGAAGTCTTGAGGAGTGAAAAGTGAAAATTGAATCTTTTAACAATTATCCTGACCTTGAATAGTTCAGAGATTTCGAGAGTCCACTACGCAGTCTTTGTCTTAACAGTTGTTAAGTAATTTGGGTAACCATATACTTTAACAAGTATCGTGTAACCAAGTCTATAACATCTAAATGGATTAAAAAATAGCTTACTTGGTAGATCAGATGCACGACCTAAACAGATGGGAAATGTAACTCTTATCCTCTAATAGCCAGACTCAATTTATTTCAATCAACAAGCTTCAGTTAGTTTCACATCTCAGAATGTGTCAAATTGATATAAGAACAGGCGACATAAGAGTTTGCATTTTTTTTCTTTTTTTGAACTGTGGTTAGAGTTTGAATTGAGTGTTAAGAAGTTAACATTTTAGCTTAAATTGAGATGCAATTATTAATAGAAAAAAATTGTTGAATGCCTCATTTCAAACATGGGGGTTAACTAGGGTTATCTTCAATGCATAACTGGCCATATAGAAGTAATTCATAATTAACTATTAAACACACTACATTTGGCAAATGCATCTGGGCCGTATAGAGGCAATCCATAATTAACCGTAAAACATACTAGATTTGGCAACAGCAGTGAGGAACACTGAACAACTAAGCAATTTCAGGAAATGCAGCAACCATTCATCAATGTTCTTGGAGCATTAAAACAGAAAGAAATTCCTAATCACATCAGAATGGTCATGTTCTTTAAGAAAGATTCCTCAATACCGTGGTATTAAGTCCTCTATGGAACAACACAATGTACAACAAGGAGGACTCGAGCCACTACACAGGAGAATCCTGGAAACTGCCCAAGAGTGCTATCCATGGATTGCATTCTTGGATTTCTAATGAACATAAATAGTGCCAACACTTATTCACCCTCAGCTGCAAGCTCAAGATTCGATAAGTTGTTACTTCATCCTCCAACATCATCGCCGACAACAAATCAACCTGACAAGCAATGCTCGAATGTAAGAAAATCAGCTACTTCTCAAGTTATGATAGACTAGAGCAACTATAAGAAGACCCTATTGCCCAAGACCAAAAGGCCATTAATATTATTGCCACCAAGAGTAACATCACAATCAGTATAGAATGACATTCCCTCCAATAAAATTTCTTTTCTCATAATGGTAGATTAGTTACTGGATCCGATCCATATCCAATGCCAGAAGCCAACAAGGGGGTACATGAACTGCTTCTTATGACTTATTAGTTACACTTGTTTCCACTCACCCAATCTTTTGAGACAGACATAACCGAGTTCCAAACCACAGCCCCAGCATCTCAACAGATATTTTGCAAGTTCCATGAACAGTGAAGACCAAATATAAAAGGACTCAACCCGGAGTACTAAGCACAACCATAATAACAAGAAAACTTAAACCAAGCTCTAAAAAGTCAAATCCATACACATATTTCACATGACCCACAATCTGCAGTGATAAGGAAAGGTAAAGAGAAGGCAACAATTACCCAAATTCAATCATCCCCAGTTGGAAATAGAGTGAGAACTTTCCTTCCACTCGCTGCAGTGGCTGACTCCAAATCTTCGATATAAGAGGGCATCGGGTTATGCACTGGAGTCCCCACCCTATGAACAGGCTGCTGCGACTGCCGGGCAAGAAAGGGATGCTCAAACTGACCGTTAGGCGGTGAACCAAAATGCCCCATCTGCCTATACTGCTGCTGAAACTGTGGATGCCCCGCTACAGCCGCCATCTGCTGCTGGTGGTGCTGCTGCTGCAGCGCTGCCACAGGCACAAACGGCAAGAAATGGTCCGAATTGGGCCTTCCCGGATGCAAAAAATGTGCTGGCACAGGTGAACTCGCAAACAGATGATCTGTAGCAGGATCAGATGCTGAGGATAGTCCTCCACCACTACCACCACCACCACTGGAAAGACCCTGCATTCGCTTCAAATACAGGCGATACTTCTGCAAATGACTCGCAACATTTTCACGAGTCAACCCATCAACACTCATGAGCTGCATTATGGTCTTGGGGACAGCATTCTTGATCCCCAAGTGGGCCACAGCATCCACAAATCTTTTGTGGAGCTGTGGCGTCCACACGAGCCGAGGCCGCTTCAGGGTGCGGGCAGGTTCGTCCCCTGAACCAGCTCCACCCATCTCGGCGGAATCGAATTCCGACGAGTTATTGGTGGTGGGTTGGGTGGAAGGGGTTTGAAGATGTGGCGGAGGAGGTGGAGGTGGTGGTTGTTGATGGTGGTGGGGCGTTTGTGGGCTATTTGGGTATCGGATATCGAAGGCAATAGCTAGATCCGCGGTTATTAGGGTTTGGGATAAGGGCATGAGCTCTTCAGGAGATGGGAGTTCTTCTTCCCACTTTGAAAACCAATTCGAGTCATCCTCCCTCATTTTTTCCACCACTTTTATCAAACCCAATTGACCAATTCTCTACGTAATAGTATTTTTATCAGTAATTTTTTTCTCAGCAATTTAAGGAAGTAGATGAAAAGAACAAGAACACTATATCGTAGAAGAGAGTGAGAAATTGGAAGGTGGAATTTGCTAAAACGGGTTCATTCTTTTTTATCTCCGTCTCTCTCCACCTAGAGTTGTGGAGGGGAGAGAGGTGGAAGAGAAGAGGAAGAGAGGAGGAAGGGAGTGAAGGTTGGGTGGTGGTGGTGGAGGGGTCTTCGAGGTGGATCTTTTTTTCTTCTTGGAGGCTTTTATAGTGGTTAGTGGTTACTGTTGAATGTTGGCGATTGCTTTTTTCTTATGATTTTTAAGTGGGGTTTTATTTTCCGGGATTTGGGGGTCTTTATACTGGACATTTGGGAGTGAGTGTAAAAAGATTTTCCTATTCACCATTTTCCTTTTGTTTATTTCACAAGGATGTGTTGGTGTGATCTCTAACCTATTGATATAAATTTGACAAGACACTATACTAAATATATATATATATATTTTATAAGTTTTGATACAAATACAATAGAAATAACAATGATATGCTGGTCACACGGACACCTGTTTCAAAGGCCTTATGTGTTGGGTTACTTTCTGTTTTTGTGTTTTTGTTTAATCCAATTACGAAATAATTTGTAAGAAATATTATTATTTTATTTTTTCAATAATTAAAAATTACAAATAACTCCTACCAAGAGCTATGACCAAAAACATATATTTTTAATGAGCAACGTTACACTGATCAAATTTTGGGATTATATTAAGAACTTAAATGACATGACAATTGACTTGAGTTTTTTTTATNTTTTTTAATGAATAACGTTACACTGATCAAATTTTGGGATTAAATTAAGAACTTAAATGACATGACAATTGACTTGAGTTTTTTTCATTAGTGTCGTGTTATTTGAGCCCCAATAAAAACTCTAAATAATCATCTGACATGTCATTTGAGATTTAAATTTGATTCTAAAATTTGATCAGTCTAACATTACTGTTTTTTAATATAGTAAAAAAAAAATATTTTGCAGTACTATAGTGTTATCCCTTGATTAATAATACACGGTCAATAATAAGTTTGGTAGCAATACTAGGCCAAATATTTTTTTTGTAACTGGATAATACATCAAATTGACATGAATTTTGTAGTACATAGTGTTAATATTCTACTTTAGTAATGTCTTGGTCGACGTGATTGTAATAAAAAATTAAATAATTATAATTATAATAATATTATTAGACATTACTATAGGGTATTAGACAAAAGTATTAAGTTCTAATCAGACTAAACTTTGTAAATTTGATAAAAATGAAGCTTTTGAGTAGACTAACCCCATATGAGCAAATGTGGTTGACGGATAAACTACAATATTAAAAAAAAAATTAATATGGTATCAAAAACTATTATTTTTAAAGGTCATGTTATACTTTTTAAAAATAAAATTATAATTATTATAAGTAATTCGTGAGATGTTTGTGATCAATTTAAGGGTAACAAATTAACCTTTAAAAATTATAATTTTTTATAACTAAAAAATTATAACTTGATTTAAAAACATTGGAATTTTTTGGTGGTTGATAGAAGTCTACAGAAATAACTTGGAGGTTGGTTCCAAGTTCCAACCCATTGTGATCAGTCCATGTAGACTTCGCTAATTTGCCAGATGCAAGTGTGTCAAAATAACCTACATTTACGATTTCTTCAGTTCAATTATGATTTGAAATTCTTTTTCATAAAAAAGAGATCGCCTATGGGGCTCCTGAACATTAAAAAAACACAAAAAAAAAGTCGTTTGAGTAGATGTACATTATTCTACAAAGTCGGATACCCTAGGTTCTCGAAAGAATCGAGTAGGTCAATGAATTTTTTTTTAGTATTTCGTAAAAAATGAAGTAGGAATGTGAAATATTTACAAAATTTTCATATTTTTACTCTATCTTACTCGCATATATATGTATGTGTGTTAATCCTTAAAAATTAAAATTTAAAAATCTAGAAACTCTAATGTTTTATTAATATTTATTTCTTTCTTTTTGTGTTTTATTGTACTTGTTTATGCATTATCGAATTTATTGTGTTTTTTTAGTGTTATTAGATTATTTTGTTAGTTAATTACTGCAAGTAATTTAATTAAATTGTCAAAATAATTCAAAAAATTAATAACTAAAAAATGTGTTTACCTAATTTCCTATCCGACTTCAACTGCATTGTTTTGGACGAAATTTGGGTAAAAAAAATACACTTGATCGGATAAAGTAAGATAAGAAAAAAAAATTCCGTAAAATATCGAATAAGAAGATAAAATATCATAATTCCTACTCGTAACATAGGATTAACACTCCTAAAGAAGACTATTAATGAAAATTCTCATCGCAGAACACCTATGGGGTTGCATGGGGATGTGATTATATGATGTGGAGAGAGAAAGAGAGTAAAGTTTGGTCACTTTGTGGGGTTTTTTTCCCCAAGTTTGGTCACATAAATGTTGACGTGGGAATCAAATGAGTTTTTAAGGTGTGTTTGGCTGTGAGGTGTAATGATAACTTATTTAATGTGGAGGATATTTTATTCTTTTGATTAAAAGAGAATATTTTGGGTGCTTTGGGGTGATTGATTTTAAAAAAAAATCCCATACGATTTTTGGGTTGACTTTAATATCAACGTTCACAATTTCTTTAAAATTAGAGATTAGTGTCTTTGATGATTAGGTTCAATGAACTTGTGCATAATAATATTCCTCAAGAAGGAGCTAAATATATTTAAAAGCTTGACACCCCAGCAAAATCTCTAGAGTCAGAATTGCCCATGTGACAGGCTTATTTCATTGTAGTATAGTTTTAGGAGTGGCATCATTAATCAGAGAATACACGAAAATCGAATTTAGAACATGTTTCTTGAATTGAGAGTTAGAATGCCATTACTATTGGATTTAAAAAGGTACTTTTGTGGGTGAATGGTGCAGAAGGTTGAAGGATCAATCCAAGTTTTAGTTCAGGTTCTTAACTAAAGTAACAAATGGATTTGTTTTGTTAAATACCAATTATTTCCTATAACTAGTATCTATCTATATATATATAAGGCAACCGGGGATTGAACCTCACCTACACTACAACTACGAACGTGGAAAGGGCATGGTGCAGCCAGCCAGCTGCATGCCTGGCCTCGAGGAGTGGATTCATTACGGTCAATACCAAGAGCTCTTGAAGNCTGCTGAAACTGTGGATGCCCCGCTACAGCCGCCATCTGCTGCTGGTGGTGCTGCTGCTGCAGCGCTGCCACAGGCACAAACGGCAAGAAATGGTCCGAATTGGGCCTTCCCGGATGCAAAAAATGTGCTGGCACAGGTGAACTCGCAAACAGATGATCTGTAGCAGGATCAGATGCTGAGGATAGTCCTCCACCACTACCACCACCACCACTGGAAAGACCCTGCATTCGCTTCAAATACAGGCGATACTTCTGCAAATGACTCGCAACATTTTCACGAGTCAACCCATCAACACTCATGAGCTGCATTATGGTCTTGGGGACAGCATTCTTGATCCCCAAGTGGGCCACAGCATCCACAAATCTTTTGTGGAGCTGTGGCGTCCACACGAGCCGAGGCCGCTTCAGGGTGCGGGCAGGTTCGTCCCCTGAACCAGCTCCACCCATCTCGGCGGAATCGAATTCCGACGAGTTATTGGTGGTGGGTTGGGTGGAAGGGGTTTGAAGATGTGGCGGAGGAGGTGGAGGTGGTGGTTGTTGATGGTGGTGGGGCGTTTGTGGGCTATTTGGGTATCGGATATCGAAGGCAATAGCTAGATCCGCGGTTATTAGGGTTTGGGATAAGGGCATGAGCTCTTCAGGAGATGGGAGTTCTTCTTCCCACTTTGAAAACCAATTCGAGTCATCCTCCCTCATTTTTTCCACCACTTTTATCAAACCCAATTGACCAATTCTCTACGTAATAGTATTTTTATCAGTAATTTTTTTCTCAGCAATTTAAGGAAGTAGATGAAAAGAACAAGAACACTATATCGTAGAAGAGAGTGAGAAATTGGAAGGTGGAATTTGCTAAAACGGGTTCATTCTTTTTTATCTCCGTCTCTCTCCACCTAGAGTTGTGGAGGGGAGAGAGGTGGAAGAGAAGAGGAAGAGAGGAGGAAGGGAGTGAAGGTTGGGTGGTGGTGGTGGAGGGGTCTTCGAGGTGGATCTTTTTTTCTTCTTGGAGGCTTTTATAGTGGTTAGTGGTTACTGTTGAATGATGGCGATTGCTTTTTTCTTATGATTTTTAAGTGGGGTTTTATTTTCCGGGATTTGGGGGTCTTTATACTGGACATTTGGGAGTGAGTGTAAAAAGATTTTCCTATTCACCATTTTCCTTTTGTTTATTTCACAAGGATGTGTTGGTGTGATCTCTAACCTATTGATATAAATTTGACAAGACACTATACTATATATATATATATATATTTTATAAGTTTTGATACAAATACAATAGAAATAACAATGATATGCTGGTCACACGGACACCTGTTTCAAAGGCCTTATGTGTTGGGTTACTTTCTGTTTTTGTGTTTTTGTTTAATCCAATTACGAAATAATTTGTAAGAAATATTATTATTTTATTTTTTCAATAATTAAAAATTACAAATAACTCCTACCAAGAGCTATGACCAAAAACATATATTTTTAATGAGCAACGTTACACTGATCAAATTTTGGGATTATATTAAGAACTTAAATGACATGACAATTGACTTGAGTTTTTTTTATTAGTGTCGTGTCATTTGAACCCCAATAAAAATTCTAAATAATCATCTGACATGTCATTTGAGATTTAAATTTGATTCTAAAATTTGATCAGTCTAACATTACTGTTTTTTAATATAGTACAAAAAAAAATATTTTGCAGTACTATAGTGTTATCCCTTGATTAATACACGGTCAATAATAAGTTTTAGACATTACTATAGGGTATTAGACAAAAGTATTAAGTTCTAATCAGACTAAACTTTGTAAATTTGATAAAAATGAAGCTTTTGAGTAGACTAACCCCATATGAGCAAATGTGGTTGACGGATAAACTACAATATTAAAAAAAAAAATTAATATGGTATCAAAAACTATTATTTTTAAAGGTCATGTTATACTTTTTAAAAATAAAATTATAATTATTATAAGTAATTCGTGAGATGTTTGTGATCAATTTAAGGGTAACAAATTAACCTTTAAAAATTATAATTTTTTATAACTAAAAAATTATAACTTGATTTAAAAACATTGGAATTTTTAGTGCTGTTCTTGTTTTGATACCATAATTTTTTTTTGGTGGTTGATAGAAGTCTTCAGAAATAACTTCGAGGTTGGTTCCAAGTTCCAACCCATTGTGATCAGTCCATGTAGACTTCGCTAATTTGCCAGATGCAAGTGTGTCAAAATAACCTACATTTACGATTTCTTCAGTTCAATTATGATTTGAAATTCTTTTTCATAAAAAAGAGATCGCCTATGGGGCTCCTGAACATTAAAAAAACACAAAAAAAAAGTCGTTTGAGTAGATGTACATTATTCTACAAAGTCGGATACCCTAGGTTCTCGAAAGAATCGAGTAGGTCAATGAATTTTTTTTTAGTATTTCGTAAAAAATGAAGTAGGAATGTGAAATATTTACAAAATTTTCATATTTTTACTCTATCTTACTCGCATATATATGTATGTGTGTTAATCCTTAAAAATTAAAATTTAAAAATCTAGAAACTCTAATGTTTTATTAATATTTATTTCTTTCTTTTTGTGTTTTATTGTACTTGTTTATGCATTATCGAATTTATTGTGTTTTTTTAGTGTTATTAGATTATTTTGTTAGTTAATTACTGCAAGTAATTTAATTAAATTGTCAAAATAATTCAAAAAATTAATAACTAAAAAATGTGTTTACCTAATTTCCTATCCGACTTCAACTGCATTGTTTTGGACGAAATTTGGGTAAAAAAAATACACTTGATCGGATAAAGTAAGATAAGAAAAAAAAATTCCGTAAAATATCGAATAAGAAGATAAAATATCATAATTCCTACTCGTAACATAGGATTAACACTCCTAAAGAAGACTATTAATGAAAATTCTCATCGCAGAACACCTATGGGGTTGCATGGGGATGTGATTATATGATGTGGAGAGAGAAAGAGAGTAAAGTTTGGTCACTTTGTGGGGTTTTTTTCCCCAAGTTTGGTCACATAAATGTTGACGTGGGAATCAAATGAGTTTTTAAGGTGTGTTTGGCTGTGAGGTGTAATGATAACTTATTTAATGTGGAGGATATTTTATTCTTTTGATTAAAAGAGAATATTTTGGGTGCTTTGGGGTGATTGATTTTAAAAAAAAATCCCATACGATTTTTGGGTTGACTTTAATATCAACGTTCACAATTTCTTTAAAATTAGAGATTAGTGTCTTTGATGATTAGGTTCAATGAACTTGTGCATAATAATATTCCTCAAGAAGGAGCTAAATATATTTAAAAGCTTGACACCCCAGCAAAATCTCTAGAGTCAGAATTGCCCATGTGACAGGCTTATTTCATTGTAGTATAGTTTTAGGAGTGGCATCATTAATCAGAGAATACACGAAAATCGAATTTAGAACATGTTTCTTGAATTGAGAGTTAGAATGCCATTACTATTGGATTTAAAAAGGTACTTTTGTGGGTGAATGGTGCAGAAGGTTGAAGGATCAATCCAAGTTTTAGTTCAGGTTCTTAACTAAAGTAACAAATGGATTTGTTTTGTTAAATACCAATTATTTCCTATAACTAGTATCTATCTATATATATATATAAGGCAACCGGGGATTGAACCTCACCTACACTACAACTACGAACGTGGAAAGGGCATGGTGCAGCCAGCCAGCTGCATGCCTGGCCTCGAGGAGTGGATTCATTACGGTCAATACCAAGAGCCCTTGAAGAAAAAGAAGAAGGAAGTGTTTGACCCCAAAGAGAGGCCGTCTGATTCTAGGTGCATACCAAGGAAAAGGAGTTGAGTTAAACCGAATCCATTCAATGCGAACAGTATTTGGGTTGGATTTGGTGGTGACATCTTAACTCGAGCAATGCCTTAACTTAAATAGGATTGAGATATTCAGGTACGATCTAGGTTTTTAAAACCTGTCCAACTTGGATTAGATTCCAATTGATTGCCTTTTTGTACACCTATGTCCATCATTGATAGGAAATTTTTATAGGTTTACTGTTTCACCACACACAGAAAAGGAAGCACAATATATCTCCTTATAATGGTTCCAAGATCCAAGCTTGTAGCTCTTCGAATTATCCTTCTGACCATAAAAAAAAACAGTCTTAACAAAACCCTCAAAAGGAACATAAAAAGTACTTAATTGTAGGAAAACATAAACAAAGATTATCTACGACCGTATTACCGCATTTTGGTTTGAACCATCTCACTAACATGACAAAAAATTATGCTCACACTAATACATACTCATAATCCAAGTCTAAGCTAAATTAACACATTGAAGATGGTCGACACGAAGGTGAAAACATGCCACATTATTCCTACATCTTTAGCAACCTTAGCCGAGAACTCTTTTCTTGGCCTTCATCCTCCCTACAAGCTTTACAAAATGAATCATGTCAAAACTAGCTTGCCAATTTTTTATGCAGTTGCAAATCAAAATTTTTAGTTACCAAACAGTATAGAAATGGCTGCACAGTGGTCGTCCATAATGTACTCCAATAAACCAGAAAAAGCCCATTCAAGCTGTTTGGAAAAATCGGAACAGAGAATCATCAATTGCACAGACCCAACGAAATCTTCTCACAATATGTTGGTCAGTTTTGAAAGGTTTGTCATGATTCATTGAGGTTGGAGCTTTTGATTAAAAACCTTGTGTTGATAGGGACGGGAAATGAACCACTGAACTCATATAGGATGAACAAATATACCACAGACTCCAGAGAAGACAAAATATTATGGCCTCAATTTTGCTCCGACATTTATTTATTTCTTGCGAGGGACAAACAATGGTATGGCAACTGGCCAATTCAGAGGGCTGAACTCCAATTATCCTAGCCCCTTAAGAGTTAACATCCAAAGCACATCATTGATAATTGTCACTACTCCAAGAACTGATGTTGCAGCCTAAATGCATGGAACATGAATGTAACTCATGGCACAAGGAGGCTAACCACCTGAAGAAGATTTTGAGTGTGAAACGACCACTAGAAACTGACAAAAAAATAGTGCAGTAGATTTTATCTGGGTTCTGCTTCATCAAAGTAGATATAATATTTAATTGCTTCACTACAACAGATAAATGTGCCCAGAAAAATAGAAGAGAATATTTCTTAAAAGAAGACAATAATGTCATGACAGTTATTGGAGAGAGAAAGAGAGAGACAGACAGACAAACAGAGAGACACAGAAAAGATCAATGCAACTAGTAAAAGCAGCTTTGAACCATCACCACACGGTTATACATTGATCTACAACTGAATAAATCAGCTGCAATGACCATCAAACTGCAACAATAGCAAGCTACTTATAAAAGAGTCCTTTCAAATAAAAGATATATTTTTTCCCCTTTTCATAGTCATACTATCCCTAATAAATTAAATCTCTTTGGTAGGAATAATAATAGTATTTTTAGGAGCTACTTTAACTCTTGCTCAAAAAGATATTAAGAGAAGTTTAGCCTATTCCACAATGTCTCAATTAGGTTATATGATGTTAGCCCTAGGTATGAGATTTTATCAAAGTGCTTTATTTCATTTGATTAATTCAGAGACTTGAGCTAGTAGACAAATAGATCTAAAAATTATCATGAGTAGGATTGTTGGTTCTTCAAGGCCTATTCTTTGTGCTACATTTGAATAAAATAAAAATCTTGCAGACTCCCCAAACTATGATTGCATTTCAGAAAAGCTATGGTGCACGTCCAAGTCCACAAAAACTATATTTAAGGTCATCTTCAATCATGACTCAAATAATAAACGACTTGATGTGATACAGACTATAGCAATGGAAGAGCTCAAATTTTTACTCAAAACTTATACTCTTTAATCTATCAGAATTCTTATTTTATATTATTAGCATATAGGGTAATAATATAATTACCAAATATTAGTTTATTATAAATAAGATAGTGTAGGGCACCATAGCCTACACGACATATTATTTTCTCTCTCTCTTTCCTCTTCTCCTCTACTTACAAACACCAATTGCTACAATTTTAACTTGGTATCAGAACAATACTAATCATCTCACACAATTTTTTTCTCCTTTTGCTTTTTCTTTCTCACTATTTTTTTCTTTCTTCTTCATTACCATTGTGTTGGTCCTTTTTTGGTGAACCCAACGTTAATCAGTCACTGTTGATTAGGATCTTTGGATTCTAACACCTATTGAGGAGGTTTGTTTTTGATGGCTGGACGTTGATTTCCTGCATTTTATCACCGAAGGACATGAGTTTCTGTTGCTTCGTCACTGGTGGATGTTGGGTGTTTATGTTTTGATCATTGTTGATTCTTATGATTTGGGTGATTGTTGTTGATTCTTGTGATTTGGTTGTGATTTTGTGATCAGAATAGTGTTTTTTGGCCTTGTTTGGTCAGTAATCTCTCCGGCGGCGAAAATTTGCAGTCACTCATCATTCTCATAGTCCTTCAACAAACTATCCATGGTAAATGGCTGTGATACACCATCTCTTTAACTCCACCAAAAACCACACACCATTTTGATTGATCGAAGCACCCTCTTGGGTGCGAAACAGTCCCAAGCTCTTCTTTCTCCCAATCATAAGACACTTGTATTGTTCCTCAGATGATCATACTCATTCCAAATCATTTAATAAAATACATTCTATGAACAACTCATCCCACCCATCTTCCAAGAACAATAAATATTGTTGTTAGGTTTTTCGCGGAAGTTGTGAAGGAAGGTAGACAAAATTTCGCAACCACTGTCATGGAAGTTTCAAAGGTTAGTGATGGCGAAAGTGGCAAAGGCAGGTAGACAAAGATGCACAGGCAGCCAAGTTGTTGCCGCTACAGAGATGCACAGTTTATTGAGCTAAATATTACTGTTAGGTTTTTTTGACCTTTTTTACTCAATATAAATTTGAGTCCAAATTTAAGTAAAGGTTAGAGATGCATCAATAATTGCCAAAAGCTTCGAAGGATAATCGTGTAACATTAGCAGCCTTCATATATATGATGGTGTTACCATCAATAAATTTACAGTCAAGTCTGCAAATCTTCATAAACGCAGTTTATTAGCCTTATGTTACAAGGAAGTGGTGCAGTCCATCACATGTTCAAAGAAAGGCAAATTTAAAGACGTAATGAACTATGTTACTTGGTTTGCTATCAAGACGGAAATTCATTGTTTTATTCGACTCTTGTTGAGTTACTTTAACCTAGTTTGTTGGTAGTATTATTTTATTTGTATTTTTTTTATATTAGTTCTTACACACAATGTGTTGCACGTGAACTATTTGTAACTCACTTCATGTACATAATATAATGAAAAATAAATCATGTGTAACATGATCAGATCACAAAGGCATTAAGTTTGGGATTTCTTACCCCAATTAACAACTCTTGTTACCANTTACAAAATTTTCATATTTTTACTCTATCTTACTCGCATATATATGTATGTGTGTTAATCCTTAAAAATTAAAATTTAAAAATCTAGAAACTCTAATGTTTTATTAATATTTATTTCTTTCTTTTTGTGTTTTATTGTACTTGTTTATGCATTATCGAATTTATTGTGTTTTTTTAGTGTTATTAGATTATTTTGTTAGTTAATTACTGCAAGTAATTTAATTAAATTGTCAAAATAATTCAAAAAATTAATAACTAAAAAATGTGTTTACCTAATTTCCTATCCGACTTCAACTGCATTGTTTTGGACGAAATTTGGGTAAAAAAAATACACTTGATCGGATAAAGTAAGATAAGAAAAAAAAATTCCGTAAAATATCGAATAAGAAGATAAAATATCATAATTCCTACTCGTAACATAGGATTAACACTCCTAAAGAAGACTATTAATGAAAATTCTCATCGCAGAACACCTATGGGGTTGCATGGGGATGTGATTATATGATGTGGAGAGAGAAAGAGAGTAAAGTTTGGTCACTTTGTGGGGTTTTTTTCCCCAAGTTTGGTCACATAAATGTTGACGTGGGAATCAAATGAGTTTTTAAGGTGTGTTTGGCTGTAAGGTGTAATGATAACTTATTTAATGTGGAGGATATTTTATTCTTTTGATTAAAAGAGAATATTTTGGGTGCTTTGGGGTGATTGATTTTAAAAAAAAATCCCATACGATTTTTGGGTTGACTTTAATATCAACGTTCACAATTTCTTTAAAATTAGAGATTAGTGTCTTTGATGATTAGGTTCAATGAACTTGTGCATTTCATTGTAGTATAATATTCCTCAAGAAGGAGCTAAATATATTTAAAAGCTTGACACCCCAGCAAAATCTCTAGAGTCAGAATTGCCCATGTGACAGGCTTATTTCATTGTAGTATAGTTTTAGGAGTGGCATCATTAATCAGAGAATACACGAAAATCGAATTTAGAACATGTTTCTTGAATTGAGAGTTAGAATGCCATTACTATTGGATTTAAAAAGGTACTTTTGTGGGTGAATGGTGCAGAAGGTTGAAGGATCAATCCAAGTTTTAGTTCAGGTTCTTAACTAAAGTAACAAATGGATTTGTTTTGTTAAATACCAATTATTTCCTATAACTAGTATCTATTTATATATATATAAGGCAACCGGGGATTGAACCTCACCTACACTACAACTACGAACGTGGAAAGGGCATGGTGCAGCCAGCCAGCTGCATGCCTGGCCTCGAGGAGTGGATTCATTACGGTCAATACCAAGAGCTCTTGAAGAAAAAGAAGAAGGAAGTGTTTGACCCCAAAGAGAGGCCGTCTGATTCTAGGTGCATACCAAGGAAAAGGAGTTGAGTTAAACCGAATCCATTCAATGCGAACAGTATTTGGGTTGGATTTGGTGGTGACATCTTAACTCGAGCAATGCCTTAACTTAAATAGGATTGAGATATTCAGGTACGATCTAGGTTTTTAAAACCTGTCCAACTTGGATTAGATTCCAATTGATTGCCTTTTTGTACACCTATGTCCATCATTGATAGGAAATTTTTATAGGTTTACTGTTTCACCACACACAGAAAAGGAAGCACAATATATCTCCTTATAATGGTTCCAAGATCCAAGCTTGTAGCTCTTCGAATTATCCTTCTGACCATAAAAAAAAACAGTCTTAACAAAACCCTCAAAAGGAACATAAAAAGTACTTAATTGTAGGAAAACATAAACAAAGATTATCTACGACCGTATTACCGCATTTTGGTTTGAACCATCTCACTAACATGACAAAAAATTATGCTCACACTAATACATACTCATAATCCAAGTCTAAGCTAAATTAACACATTGAAGATGGTCGACACGAAGGTGAAAACATGCCACATTATTCCTACATCTTTAGCAACCTTAGCCGAGAACTCTTTTCTTGGCCTTCATCCTCCCTACAAGCTTTACAAAATGAATCATGTCAAAACTAGCTTGCCAATTTTTTATGCAGTTGCAAATCAAAATTTTTAGTTACCAAACAGTATAGAAATGGCTGCACAGTGGTCGTCCATAATGTACTCCAATAAACCAGAAAAAGCCCATTCAAGCTGTTTGGAAAAATCGGAACAGAGAATCATCAATTGCACAGACCCAACGAAATCTTCTCACAATATGTTGGTCAGTTTTGAAAGGTTTGTCATGATTCATTGAGGTTGGAGCTTTTGATTAAAAACCTTGTGTTGATAGGGACGGGAAATGAACCACTGAACTCATATAGGATGAACAAATATACCACAGACTCCAGAGAAGACAAAATATTATGGCCTCAATTTTGCTCCGACATTTATTTATTTCTTGCGAGGGACAAACAATGGTATGGCAACTGGCCAATTCAGAGGGCTGAACTCCAATTATCCTAGCCCCTTAAGAGTTAACATCCAAAGCACATCATTGATAATTGTCACTACTCCAAGAACTGATGTTGCAGCCTAAATGCATGGAACATGAATGTAACTCATGGCACAAGGAGGCTAACCACCTGAAGAAGATTTTGAGTGTGAAACGACCACTAGAAACTGACAAAAAAATAGTGCAGTAGATTTTATCTGGGTTCTGCTTCATCAAAGTAGATATAATATTTAATTGCTTCACTACAACAGATAAATGTGCCCAGAAAAATAGAAGAGAATATTTCTTAAAAGAAGACAATAGTGTCATGACAGTTATTGGAGAGAGAAAGAGAGAGACAGACAGACAAACAGAGAGACACAGAAAAGATCAATGCAACTAGTAAAAGCAGCTTTGAACCATCACCACACGGTTATACATTGATCTACAACTGAATAAATCAGCTGCAATGACCATCAAACTGCAACAATAGCAAGCTACTTATAAAAGAGTCCTTTCAAATAAAAGATATATTTTTTCCCCTTTTCATAGTCATACTATCCCTAATAAATTAAATCTCTTTGGNATTGCAGCAATAGCAAGCTACATATAGAAGAGTCCTTTCAAATAAAAGATATATTTTTTCCCCTTTTCATAGTCATACTATCCNACTGCAACAATAGCAAGCTACTTATAAAAGAGTCCTTTCAAATAAAAGATATATTTTTTCCCCTTTTCATAGTCATACTATCCCTAATAAATTAAATCTCTTTGGTAGGAATAATAATAGTATTTTTAGGAGCTACTTTAACTCTTGCTCAAAAAGATATTAAGAGAAGTTTAGCCTATTCCACAATGTCTCAATTAGGTTATATGATGTTAGCCCTAGGTATGAGATTTTATCAAAGTGCTTTATTTCATTTGATTAATTCAGAGACTTGAGCTAGTAGACAAATAGATCTAAAAATTATCATGAGTAGGATTGTTGGTTCTTCAAGGCCTATTCTTTGTGCTACATTTGAATAAAATAAAAATCTTGCAGACTCCCCAAACTATGATTGCATTTCAGAAAAGCTATGGTGCACGTCCAAGTCCACAAAAACCAGATTTAAGTTCATCTTCAATCATGACTCAAATAATAAACGACTTGATGTGATACAGACTATAGCAATGGAAGNCTATATTTAAGGTCATCTTCAATCATGACTCAAATAATAAACGACTTGATGTGATACAGACTATAGCAATGGAAGAGCTCAAATTTTTACTCAAAACTTATACTCTTTAATCTATCAGAATTCTTATTTTATATTATTAGCATATAGGGTAATAATATAATTACCAAATATTAGTTTATTATAAATAAGATAGTGTAGGGCACCATAGCCTACACGACATATTATTTTCTCTCTCTCTTTCCTCTTCTCCTCTACTTACAAACACCAATTGCTACAATTTTAACTTGGTATCAGAACAATACTAATCATCTCACACAATTTTTTTCTCCTTTTGCTTTTTCTTTCTCACTATTTTTTTCTTTCTTCTTCATTACCATTGTGTTGGTCCTTTTTTGGTGAACCCAACGTTAATTAGTCACTGTTGATTAGGATCTTTGGATTCTAACACCTATTGAGGAGGTTTGTTTTTGATGGCTGGATGTTGATTTCCTGCATTTTGTCACCGAAGGACATGAGTTTCTGTTGCTTCGTCACTGGTGGATGTTGGGTGTTTATGTTTTGATCATTGTTGATTCTTATGATTTGGGTGATTGTTGTTGATTCTTGTGATTTGGTTGTGATTTTGTGATCAGAATAGTGTTTTTTGGCCTTGTTTGGTCAGTAATCTCTCCGGCGGCGAAAATTTGCAGTCACTCATCATTCTCATAGTCCTTCAACAAACTATCCATGGTAAATGGCTGTGATACACCATCTCTTTAACTCCACCAAAAACCACACACCATTTTGATTGATCGAAGCACCCTCTTGGGTGCGAAACAGTCCCAAGCTCTTCTTTCTCCCAATCATAAGACACTTGTATTGTTCCTCAGATGATCATACTCATTCCAAATCATTTAATAAAATACATTCTATGAACAACTCATCCCACCCATCTTCCAAGAACAATAAATATTGTTGTTAGGTTTTTCGCGGAAGTTGTGAAGGAAGGTAGACAAAATTTCGCAACCACTGTCATGGAAGTTTCAAAGGTTAGTGATGGCGAAAGTGGCAAAGGCAGGTAGACAAAGATGCACAGGCAGGTTGCATGTGAACTATTTGTAACTCACTTCATGTACATAATATAATGAAAAATAAATCATGTGTAACATGATCATATCACAAAGGCATTAAGTTTGGGATTTCTTACCCCAATTAACAACTCTTGTTACCAGTTCAAGAGATACAAAGTGTTGAAGTGATGTAAGAGAAACACTTCTATTCTAAAATAAGGAGGGAGAAATGATGCAGACTGGATAATACATAAATATTCGTAGTATGTTACAATGCAACCCGTATATACATTTGGTAAATATGATATACATTTTATAAGGGAAAAGAAAAAAAGAGTTGATGAACATTATAAGCAGAAGAAACCAACTTAATCTCAGCATGCCACCATTTGTTTTAGTATTTACGGATTCAAAAGGAGCGCTTGAAACAAAATTAGGCAGCACAAGTTTTATGGATTGTCCATGTCAATTTATTGCACCCAAATGGAGATTTGTTCTTTCCCAGAGATAGTCAGCTATTAACCTAAAAGAAATGCTACAAATATGTTGGACCTAATCTAATCAATCATCGAGAAGTTTGTCAAACTAAAATCATGTGAGCCAATGGTACTAAATTGTATCTCCATTAACAGAGATCAAGAATTAATCTTTTTAAACCTATTCAAAATTCAGTAACAAAAATAAAAAGGATAAAAAAAATAATGATAACTAACATTGCATCTAAAGAGGAGAAGGGTTTGGGTAATTTCCCAAAGGCTACAAAGACACTTGCATTGCGACAGAATTCCATAATAAAAATTCAACAAGAAGATCCAGTAACAAATTGATCAGTTCATTGAATAATGAATATTCATGTAAATTTCAACTCATGGACATTAGTATTGATCATGTAGTTACACAAAAATTGAGCTGACCTCAGACGAATCATCAAACAAGTATACTGNTGGACAATGAATACGGGTCACTAACCACTCAAGTGGTCTTGCAATAGAGAAGGCTCATTGACGGATTGACCGCTCCAACGGCCATGCTCAACTAACCTAGAATTGACCCTTGTCTCATTTAAATGACAACTGCCCTCTAATAGCTCGAACGATTTTTTGAGAATGAGTTTTCTTGGGAAACAAATTGACTAAATTTTCAAGACCTATATATATGGGCATATCTTTTCAAACTAGAATAACTCNCAATGGAAGAGCTCAAATTTTTACTCAAAACTTATACTCTTTAATCTATCAGAATTCTTATTTTATATTATTAGCATATAGGGTAATAATATAATTACCAAATATTAGTTTATTATAAATAAGATAGTGTAGGGCACCATAGCCTACACGACATATTATTTTCTCTCTCTCTTTCCTCTTCTCCTCTACTTACAAACACCAATTGCTACAATTTTAACTTGGTATCAGAACAATACTAATCATCTCACACAATTTTTTTCTCCTTTTGCTTTTTCTTTCTCACTATTTTTTTCTTTCTTCTTCATTACCATTGTGTTGGTCCTTTTTTGGTGAACCCAACGTTAATTNTGTTAAAGATAGTACTCAAGACCTTGCGATGGCGATTCCGACAAGCAGATTAAAAGAGAAAAACGTCTAACCGTGGACTAAGTCGAGGTATAAAACCTTTTAATTCTATTTTGAGTATAATGGATTAGGTTTATGTGGACCAAGANTGGCAAAGGCAGGTAGACAAAGATGCACAGGCAGGTTGCATGTGAACTATTTGTAACTCACTTCATGTACATAAT